GGAAGAGTACACCGGTATTTCTGTTATCCAGTTAGTTGGGAGAGTACATCGGCCATGACTAATTAAGGGGACCACTAAATAAAATTTCAGTATGCATAAATTATTTATAACTGAGATTTTCTTCTTGTTTAATTTTAAATGTTTACTCGACATGCTTTAAAATTTTCAATGAGAGCAATTAATATTTTTATTTACTGAGTTATCTCATATAGTTTTTCCTTATCCATCATTTCAAGTAGCGAATCTAAAGACAAGGGAAACGAAAGGGAGTGACATCTTGAAAGCTAGCCATTTGTGTTTTGGATCTAGATTATTATGGAGTTAGGATGCTAGTCACATATATTTTTGGATATAGATGGTGGAAGATAGGTCATTTTTGTAGATTAAATCCCCTTGAAATAGTCTTGACTTTATTAATAAAATTGTAAAATTTTTGTACACTCTGACCTAGTTAAATATTGGTTATAAAATTAAATTTAATATTAAGATTGTGAATTATTAATTATGAATTTAACAAATTCCGAATTTTATGCATTTATGAGATCTTTTTACAAATATACGAGGTCTATTTCGCCATCCATCTTGGGGCGTGACAGCGGGTTGATGTTACGGTTGCGGCTAATCCGTGAGCTGATGTCATGTTTCCATTCATCCTTTACGGACCTGGGCCTTGGTGGACTCCAAGTGCTGAACTGGACTTAAAATCGAGAGGAGTCAGCCGAAAGTTGATGACTTTTTTTTAAAAAAAAAAAAAGCTAAAGTTGATGACTTGGACTTGTGGGGATTAAAATCAAGTGGATCCAAGTTGAGTCAGAAATGAAAATTTTCAAAAATAATTAAAAAATAATTTATTATTATTTATTTATATAATTTTATGTATTATTTAAATAATTAATTTTTATTTATTTAAAATTTATAATATTAAATATATATTTATTTAATAATATATAAAAATTATATAAAAATATTATCTCAATATCATTCCATATTTCTTAATATTCAGTACTTGGGAGTCCACCAAGGCTCGGGTCCGTTAAGGATGTGTGGAAACATGACATCAGCTTACGGAAAAGAACAGATTAGGCACAACCGAAGAGTTTGAGGATCGATCTTCCGCAAAATTCATTTTAAGTGTTGATTATGCACAACCGATCGGTTGAGGGGCTGATTAGCACTGTTCGCCTACTTCTTGTAAAAAGGAAACGGAAAAACAGACATTATCATTTATATTTATTTTTTACAAATATGCCAAAACGCATTTATTTTCTTGGTTGACAACACACATGAGCATTCACAAGTATTTTTTAGCTAAGAAAACACACACTGTAATAGCATCAGACTAACTAGAAATAGTAATAATTAAAGTTCAGTGTTCGAGCCGATGTGTCTCTTTGAAGCTATTATAAGTTTGCAGAGCTGCCATAACAAGGCCAGCTATGACACCGAGGAAGACGATGAAGCTCCAGGGACTCCTGAAATAGGTGTGGCAGATTTTAGCAGCGTCTCTGGCCCATATGATGTTGCAGTGATCTTGGATACGACGTTTCAACTCAAGGTATATCTCAAGATTCGGCACCAGTTTGTCGCTGATCTTGTTGAACAGCACTGCTACATCTTTATCGCTTCCTAGTTCGTTGCGCAGCACGCCTGCATCTCTTAGTTCTTTCACATCCTCCCTGCTATCGATCAAGTTGTCGAGAAATGACACGTACGAGGTGATCTCGAACTCGTTTTTGAAATCCGGACACATCTCGTAGGCTATCAAGTTCAGCAACTTTGGCATGGTGGCAACGTCAACCAAAATGGGAGAAAGCGTAAGGGTTGGCATGCAAAAACGGTCGTCGAAATCAATGTCTGTGATGGCACCTCTCTCTTTACTCGCTTTAAAACGAATACCCTTTTCTTTCAACTCCTTTACGTTGCGAAATGTGTGCCAGTGTCTGCTTTTAGCACCATAAGAGCACAACTTCGAATTCCTCAGTTTCTCCCAGAGAATGTCCATTTTTTTATCTTTACCCTTCTCTTTTGCTTTGGTTCCTATCAGTCTTTTTCGTAACAGTGCCAGAAGATGAGCAGGCTCTTTTTCTTCTTCTTGTTTTTGTTGCTCAAGATGAGGAGGATGAATCTGATGATGAGAGTCAACCTGAATTGGGTGTTGTAGTTGCTGCTCGACCGGACTCAAGAAACTCTTGTCAATGAATTTGGTGACGGAATCCTTCAATTCCTTCTGACAATTTTCTCCTCCTTCTTCACTTGGGACTTCAGGGAACATGCCTATCAATATCTCAAGGAGTTTGTAGGGCAGTTGGTTCTCAAGTAAGAATAAATCAAGTTTCGCAAAGGCGACTAGATCATTCTTACCCCCTACTTCCTTCCACTTATCCATCATATCAAGGAGTATGAAATGCAACAATGCACAGCCATCCACAAGGAACATCCAGGCCAACTCCTCATCATTCCATTTCTCTACTTCGTTGGGGTCATAGCACTTCTTCAAGCTATTTATCTCCTTCTTGACATTGCTGTAGAAATCTTCCTTCGTCCTCCCACTCTTTTTGATGAACGTCCCCGCCAGTTGTAGCTTGAACTTCTCACCTCTTTCGAATGGCGAGTCTGGTTTAGGATCCCTTTCATGGTGGAGGGGACCGATCGTAACAGAAATTGGCTCGAAAAATCGTTTGCGTTCCTCATCATTGTAGCGCG